CTATGTACGTAATCTACGTTTCTGAATACGCGCTGCGGCATACCCAAAACAAAGCCTGTATACCATCCTTATTTCATATGGCTTAGGACAATGCATCAAAGTATGCGGGTTCACATATGCAGAAAACGTAATACTTCAAGTCAAAGGATAGTTACACCCGTGGTCGCGCTAAAGATGCTTAGAGCATGAACTAAAAATTCAAGCAACATCTTTAGAATGGGTCAGTCCGGCATCCTATTATCTCTAGATAATATCTACCCATGTGCGGATGCGAACACACCGTCATTGACCATGAGACTAAGTCAAACATCCAACACACACTAGTCTCACATGCATTAACGATATCCCACTCTCGTTAATACTCGACTATGGACATTCAGATAAATATTTATTTCAAGATGTTAGTCTCATCAGCAGAATAACACTATCTGATAAACATCTTTAAATATAGATCTAGGAATATAATATTTGTTTACATTAGCATGAGATGTGTAAACATATTATATCTGCCTATAGATGATAGAATAATGATAAACAGTTGGCCATCAGGGCACAACTCCAACAATGGCGCCAGTGGAAGATAAGTTGCGGGAAGCGAGGTTGAGATGGTTTGGTCATGTGAGACGGCGGGATGCTGACGCCCCTGTACGGAGATGCGAGAGGATTACGGTTTTCGGGGAAAGTAGGGGAAGGGGTAGACCTAAGAAGAATTGGAGGAGGTGATTAAGCAGGATTTAGGAATCCTCACCCTGACTGGGGATATGGCCTTAGATAGGAACCTTTGGAAAACTAGGATTAGAGTAGCTGGATAGGAGCTCGGTGCTGTAGAGGTTGTTTGTAGTATGTTGTGTTTGTTTGGAATCCTCTCCTACTGCTTGTACTTGTTGCTTGTACTTGACTCTTTACCCGTGTTATACTGTGTTCCCTTCCATATTTTTGTGCAGGTTGAGCCGGGGGTATCTTGGAAACAGCCTCCCTACTTTCGAGTAGGGGCAAGGTCTGCGTACACACACCCTCCCCAGACTCTACTGTAGTGGGATTCAACTGGATTGTTGTTGTTCGATTTTTTTTCTTGCATGTTTCGATCAGTTCCAATTTTGTTGGTGGATTTCATTTTTGCAACCTTGCCATAGTTGGAACTATAAGGGGGTGAGGCATTTCAGGAATCAGTGCCCAAACGATAAACAACATAAGCAAGTCAACACTTCACAAGACCCCGCTGACGATAATCCCTTGATGTGTTGTGCGGAGAGTAGTGTGATTCATAGGAGGTCATGGATTCTGATGCTTCTTTTCGTGCTACCCACTGTAGTGAAATATTACAGAATCTGGTTATTAGTGACTTTGAAAAGATAAGACTTACTTTGAAAAGGTAATATTTACGAACGACAGATCTCTTAATGTTACGGGTATGGATGACATAGTGTTAAAAACACCAACCGGTTTCTTGATTTTGAAGGATGTCAGAGTTGTTCCAAATTTGAGGAAGAGATTGATTTCTATGAGGTAGTTGGACGGACAAGAACACAATGTGAAGTTTGGAAACAGGTAGTGGAAGGTTGGAACAGAAAAATCTTGTCATGACCCATAACAGAGAGAAAGTGATACGAACTCGTATCGGATAGGGAAGACTCGGAGTGTCTTCAAGCTCTTGAGAAAATGAGACGAGGAAGAAGAAAAAGCTTTGGGGCAAAGGAGCGAATCGGCAAACCGATGGGGATAAGGAATTAGGGTTTTGATTTGTTATATTGATTGATTAACTCTAAAGGAGGTTACATCTCCTTATATAGGGAAGAAGGAAACCCTAATGCTAACCTGACGGTTCAATAAAAGCGACGAGAGAAAGAACCGTAAAGAAATCTTGAAGGAGCTTATAATTTCGCTCACCTAATAAAATCTACATTACAATAATAATGATAATAATAATAATAATAATAATAATAATAACAATAACAATAATAATAATACTAATTATCCTACTCTATTATCCATAACACTCTCACCCCCTTAGAAAACCACCTTGTCCTCAAGGTGGAGGCTCCCACTCATGCTTCGAGACTGGAGAGAAAATGTTGACCCAAAGATTATGCCCACTTGATGATAGATCTTCATTAAGCCTGCAAATTGGAGTATAGCGATGGACATAAGAGAGCAGAGTAAATACAAACTTAGCCACCGGCGGTGAAACCCAATACTCGGGCTCCACTATATTCCCATGGGCAGAGGACTGGTTGATATCAAAGGGCAGTGAGATGTCCGCTTGTGTGTAATTTATATCTGCTACTTGGGCTGTTTTGGACGAAGGCACAAGGCTACATGCGATGATGACATTGCTCAATGTTGGATCCCTTGCAACTTCTCCCTTACCCGGTGCATCGACATGCGTATCAACAGCGACAATATCTGATGGAAAGGCATTAACAATACCTTCAACAGAACATCAACATCAACATCAACTACAGGAACTCTCACTGAATCCCCAACCGTACGCTCCACAGGTTCCATGTCAGTAGATGTAGGATTGGGTAGAGTGGTTGTGGGGACCAAATCAGGTGGAGCAATGGGAATGCCGAGAAGATTCCTTATAGCGTTCATCATCCTTATTTTGAAACTTTTTAACTCCAAGGGAATATCACTCAACGCCATTGGAGTACCACGCACCAAATCTTGTATCGAGCAAGAGATTTCCACATTGAACGCATATAACTCAGAATCAGAATGCGGTAGATCTAAAAGATGACGAAATAAGTGGAGCGTCTTCAAAATTTCATCCACATGATCATAAGCTATACAGATTCCGTCATGTAACTCAACTCTTCCATAAAAGATATTCTTCAACAAACCAAGAAGTTTGCCTAAAACATCTTCCATTGTTATGATAATTTTGTCAAAAATCGAGGACATAGTTATGCGGTTATGCCAAGACCAATTCACCGCCCGGATGATATGATGGAAGATCAGTGTTCTGACGTGGGTTGCAGCACAATAATCGGCGGTGGTCAACTCAAATTAGAGAAACAACTCTTCCTTTTTTTTTCCTTCCAATTCTCGGGTTCAAATCAACCCAAAATTTCACAAAAACAATAGCGTAGTAACCCAATCAAGTGGCACGTTGGAGGAAGTAGCAAGTAGCAAAATGAAGGAATTAACTCATAAATGAAAGCAATATGCAGAGAGTCTTCTTCCCAAAAATATGGCAGCCATAACTTCCAATCACAGAAAACAATGGGTAGGTAGCAACAAAAAAAATCCAAAACCCCTCAGAACTAAAAGGCTGATAATTGGATGTGATATAAATAAGTTTTAGAGCAATTGGGGTGATTGTTATTACTTGGAATTAAACCCTTGTTGCGGCTGAGATTCTGTCGTGAATTTTGTGGTCCGCCCGACGGCAAAGCAATATAAAGAACTTGCGGCGTAAGGGAGCTGTTCAATTCTCTCTGATATGTGCCGACGAATTGCTTCAACTCGATCTTTGGGCCTGCGATTTAGAAACTTGGGCAACGGAGTAAACAAATTGAGCAGTCAAGTTTCTTCCTCTCGCAATTTCAAGACCGGCGATTGGAACTCTTTTTTGTTTTTTAATGAATTCTCTCAACAAGAGCACCAATACGAACTTGTATCAGATAGGGAGACTCGGAGAACCGAGGGGAGAAGGAATTAGGGTTTTGATTTGTTATATTGATTGATTAACTCTAAAGGGGTTACATCTCCTTATATAGGGAAGAAGAAACCCTAATGCTAACCTGACGGTTCAATAAAAGCGACGAGGGAAAGAACCGTAAAGAAACCTCGAAGGAGCTTATAATTTTGCTCACCTAATAAAATCTACATTAGAATAAGAATGATAATAATAATAATAATAATAATAATAATAATAATAATAATAATAATAATAATAACTGTTAGAATATAAATAACTGTTCCTGGGCCACAACCACAAGGTTGAGCTTTTGGTTGAGTTGGTTCCTTGACATGGTATCGGAGCCTCGTTGACTAAGAGGTCACGGGTTCGAAACTCAGCGCCACCCAGTTTAAAAAAAATTAAGGTTTCACGTGCAAGGCTCGAAAAAGACTACGCCTGCACGTGAGAGGGCGTGTTAGAATATAAATAACTGTTCCTGGGCCACAACCACAAGCTTGAGCTTTTGGTTGAGTTGGTTTCTTGACAATAACAATAATAATAATACTAATTATCCTACTCTACTATCCATAACAGAAAGATTCGCTTATATTAATCTGAATGGATCTGTTTTGATCTTATTTTAATAAAAATAAGAAATAAATAGAAAAATAAGTTGAAGAGAATGCAATCTAAGGCTGGTGATGAGAACGAGGTAACCATCTTGGACAAAGTAAGTTGTATAATGAATGATGAAATTGGTACAAAGTCTTTTCCTTTTTGGTTTTTGAATTTGGCTCGGCACTAGTTCAAGTTTTTAGTTTCATCGTTTTGAAAATTTTATCCAAAGAGTTTTTAATATACTATGTAGGTGCTTTCAAAGTGAATCAACACCCTTAATTAAAAATCTCTTAAAACACTAACTCTAATCACAAATGTTGCTTCCAAACGAAGCTCTTATAGTGTATGACAAATATGGAAAGGAACTAAGAGTAAAGACCCATTTCTAAAATATACTCCCTCGTTCGAATTTTTTCGATATTAGTTATGTATTTTTCATATTCAATAAAAAACTTATGATGAATTGTCAAAAAATCTAAATATAGGGTATGAGGTATGAAAACTATTGACATGAATGAGTATTATTTGGCATTTTAAACTCATTTCATAAAAATACTTTTTTCCAATCACACCCATTCTTCTTCCTCTTTAGGGCAAAAAAATGAAAGCACTAAGACAAGATCCACATGTAAACAGTAGCCCATAGAGTAACTGCAAAGGAAGCCACAGAGTAATTCCACAGCATTAACACTGAACATTCAGTCTCCCCAACTTCAAACAACTGAGTGATGGTTCCTGTCAATCCACCAAAACACATCTCATTTTTTGCATTTTCTAAACCAAATCACCATTTACTTCAAACAAAAGCACGTACTAATCAAAGACTGAGGAATGCCATGGAAGAGTAAAAGAGATGTTCTTTGTTTGTTTTTTTACCTATACCCATGGCAGAAGGAAGTGCATATTGCAGAAGAAGAACAAAGTGATACAGAGAATGTGATCCCAACAGACCGAAATGGATAGCGAATTTGATGATGGCAATGCCGCAAAGAGGGAGCAGAATGAATCTGATCACCTGAACCCCCACCACAACCCAAACCCCGATCGTTTGTTTCTTGAGCCCTGCAAAAACACACGCCCGACATTCGCATCAACAAAGATTGGCTGATCTAAAAGTGTGACAGATAGAAATGAAAACAACCTCTAAGAAGATTTGCTCCAATTACAAGCGTCACTGCGGGTATTGCAGCATCTCTGCAAATAAATATAAACCTCTCAGGTTAGGCCTCTAACGCAGTTACCGTTTACGGTACAACCTCAAGTCATCATACCCTAACATTGCAGCGGAGCTATCAATGACATGAAGCGGAGCATTATCAACGATTATCAGCTTTCGTAACACGGATACTACTCCGATTGTTATTCCAACAATCTGAAATCCGTGCAAAAATAAACGAGTAAGTGAAGTTCCATTGTATTGCAATGATGTCTATAACAGCTGATTTAAGCTTATTTTAATCTGAAAAGAATGTGACCATACCGTTGCAATGGTGGAGGGTGCAAACATCATTTTCAGGTTGATCATCTCTTCCCACAATTTCATTTTTTGCTTGATCCTCGTCCATACGGATGATTGCTGCAGAGAAGGCTAATTATGATGACGATATTCATCATTCATGAATTAAATAGTTGGCAGAAATGAACGAAAGAACTATATTAATTACTCCCTATGTTGTTGTATGTAGGGAGAAAGAATGTTGACCTCTTGTTTATCGTCGCATACTACTATTACAGCTTCTTCATCTTGATCATATTTTAAGCTGTGACTTGAAAGCAGAGCTTCTCTGCAGCTATCTAAGAAGCCAGAACCCAATTTGTCTGCACTAGAATCTCTTCGCGGCGTTCCATAAGCCCGAATTATGTTAAATATGTATGTCCATATGTAAACAGCTCCTATCTACATTCATTTGTAAAACCAATATATATATATATCCTCTCTACTCTAGTCTGATTGATTATATTGTTAACCAAGTAAAATTTCCATGTTCTTACCGCCATTGAAAGTGAGGCATAAGCTCTTCCATGGGTAGAGCAAGTCGAAGGATCTCCAAATGGGCTGTTTTTCTCCTCACACACAGCTGGTATTATGATGAGAAGCAAATTTCCCAAATTCCCTATAAGCGATCAAATTCTCCAACACGTGTTAAAGGAAGTGACTGCTTCGTTTATATTAAGCCGATGTGGAATAAACACAACAAAAACCAGACTGATCAGATTGCATACCTGCAGCACAGCAGCTGATGACAAGACCATGTAGTTCTCGAGAAGTTCCCGTGACCTTAACAAGGACCCAACCCAGCGCCGATCCAATGATGAATGTGAGGAGTATGTTTACAGGCATAAACCATCTTCACATAAAGAACAAAAAACAATCGCATCAGCAGAACAGATTTAAAAAAAAAAAAGACAACTGATGAAATGGGATGTAATTAGGAAAAGAGAGTTATGATTGGAACACACAGTGTGACAATGCTGTCTGCTGTTACAGTCTCAGCAAGGCTGCTGGCGATAAGCGCCGGGGTGAAGACATAAAACACAAGCTGCAGCCAAACACAAAAGAAAACCAGGATTAACCCGGAAACCCCAGGCTAGAAACAGAAAAAAGATTTGATTTTTACATTGTTCAGATTGTGCCTGGCAGTGGCGCCGAGGATATCAACCCGCTCCAGAGCAAGAAACAGACCAATGGCGGTGATGGCCAGGGTTTTAAGAACAGGCATCAGCGCCACCACAAACAGATCAAGAAACCCCATCAAGACTCTGTCTTTTTGCCTCCCCAACACCCAAGATTCTGCAAATTTTGAAGGGTTATACTTAAATTTCTATCTTGTTCCCCTTTTTCTTTTGAAATCCTAGCTAACATATGTAGCATATGAGAGTAAATTGCCAGAAAAAAGACTGTATTTGGAGACAGAGAAAACGGCGTCACTTCTCAAAACATCCTCCTTTTCCACGTTGTTGAAGGGAGAGTATATGTTTATGTTTAAGACAGCTCAGAATATGGTGCAGCCTGACATATTCTCTGCTGTAAAGTTTTGAATTTCTCAATAAAGAACTGTGCGGAGTGAAAGAAATGGAAGACAAGAAAATCTCCTATGAAGATGGAGATTGGAGAGGGACTGATCCCCGCTAAAAATAGAGCTGTCAGGCAAGGTGCAGGTGGGGTTTATTTGGATTGAATATGTTGCAAGCTTTGGTAGATTCGTGCACGCCTTTTAATTTGACATGATAGACTTGTTTTGATAATTCAAAAACAAACACAACGAAAATAGTTAAATCTAGAATGAGATAAATTGTTTGTTTACAAATTCACAAGTGAATGACAAGTTGGTGGTGTTGTAGAAAAACTTGTTAAATGCATACACACTTGACCCTTCATTTGTTGTTATTTAATGTTCACACTTTGCTTTTACATTGAGCTTGAGAAAACAAAAATGTGAGATTGGACTTTTAAAACTTTGGTATTCTTTAGAGTATCTCCAACCATATCATTTTTTCTTGTTAAAAATTATAATGTAGCAAGGCTGTGTTCCGTACTCTTGATCTGATTGAATTTGATCACAATTTTTGATGTTCTGATCTGAATCGATCTGATTTGATTCGATTTGAACTGATCTTATTGAATCTAATCTAATTGAATCTAATCTGATCTGATTATATCTCATTTTATCTAATTAAATATGGTGTAAATGAATTTAATTTTTATTTAAATTAAACCTAAAATTATTACAAAATTTAATAGTTTTAAAGTGTTACAATTCATATATACTTAAAAAAGTACAATAAGAAAATCAACTAATCATTGATATATTTAAAAAAAAATTGAAATATTAAACATCTTTCCAATATCACTACTTTTTAAATTTTTGTGAAAACTAAATAATCGGTACAAAAATTACCAAATATCAGAAACTATAGATGCTATTCTACAAAAATATCACATTCTACATGCATACTACATAATAATATATTTCATGTTACAAATTAAAGATCATATAAAATCTTAAACACTAATATTCCTTTCACATCTATCAATTTTGTCATAAACTCACCCTTGTGTATATTATACCATGTGAAAGTTTAAAAGTAAGTGTTTTAAGTATAAAATAATTATGGTTTTGAAAACTAAGTTTTGTACAATTATTTTATAAACAAGTGTTTTAAAACAACTATTTTTAAATTTTGAAAAATACAACTTTTTAAACTTTAACATTGCTTCCGTGCATCATTCCTACAAGCTAATTAAGTACATACTAAAAATAATAGTTTGTAGTTGAAATATATTAATAATAATAAAAATAATAATAATAATATAATAATAATAATATTTAAAATTATAAATGTAATTAAGATTTAGGTGTGTGTAGCTTTAAATAATGTAATGTGATTTAATCAAATAATAGTAATTATTATTTAATCCTTGAAAAATATAAATATTTTTTTATATTTTTTCTTGATTTGATATTATTGAATTTGATATGGTCTGATCTGATTGAATCTGGTCAGATCTGATATGGTCTGATTAGATCTCGTATAATCTGATTGGATCTGATCTAATTAGATCTGATCTGGTTGGGTCTCATCTGATTATGTATGATCTGATCTAATATGATTTTAATGAGAATAAGTAGAAAAAATAAGACTCCAAGTCAAGCTCTTTTGTTCATCTCAAAAGGGTGTGATATACTTTAGCAAGCTTGATAAAAAATAACTTTGGATTGCTAAATATAACAAGCTCTTCAAATTATAGCAAATCTATAGTTAAAAAATAAAATAGCAAGTTATGGTTGGAGAATGGAAGAAAAAAATGTTTGTTATATCATTATTCACTTGCTATAATGTAAAAATAGCAAATTCATATAGCAAGTAAGGTTGAAGATGCTCTTATTACTAAGTAATACTCCCTCTGTCCACCATAGATCTTCCCAGATACTATTCACGGTGTCAAACTTTACTCACTTTGTTTGCTCAATTTTACTAGTCATTTCATAAAATAATATAGTCTTGTCACCTCTAGCTTTGTAGAACTTTTCATGTAGTTTATTACTATATAAATTTTATTTTAAAGTTTTACTCCTATAATCAATTAAATTGAATTGAAAATAAAGTCGGTCAAGTCTCGTAACGCGCAATGGGAAGATCATACATGGACGGAGGGAGTATAAAAGTGAGGACATTTGGAAAAACAGCATAATATTGATAGGGTAATTCATATTAAAACCACAATCACACAATTTCAATATTATGCTGCTATACAATTGAATAATATTTCGTCCTTTTCTAAAACATGTTCTTTTTTTTCTTTTACGTGCAAAATCCAATCTTTTTAAAAATGATTTCATTTAAAAATTGGTATAGAAATGAAACATTAAACATACATATCTAAAAATAATAACAAAAGTTATACAATATAAATGGTGACAAGAATATTTTAATTTATCTAATAATTAACAAAAATAGAAAAACAAAAGTTATCGAAGGCCTAGAATAGTAAGCAGAAAGTGTTTTTAAAAAACAGAGGAAGCAACGTAGAAGGCTCGGGGAACCATTAATTTTTTAAATGGAGCCTTATAAGAGGCTCCGGTCATGCTATAACATTCAAAGTGAGTGTCACATGAACCATGCCGAACGTAGAAACCATAATCAGAAATTACTCCAAACTAGAGTATTACTTCGGGTCCTCCTTCCGTCCCAATTTTGATTGCTCGTTTTGGTTTACAATATTTGATTGAAGTTATTTTCAATACAATTTATTTCAAAATTGATTGTCATTAATGGTATCTTACATTGTGCTCTAAATTGGTTAAAGCGTGGAGGCTATATTGATGTGAGTCTCTTTTCACACAATTCAATGGTGGTAGATGTTATTAATAATGCAATTTCATCTCGCTCCTATTTTAGCTCGGTTATAGAAGATTGTATTTTTTACTTTCTTTTTTTCATTTTATTTCAATTTCTAAAGTGAGACGTGATTTGAATAGTGTTGCTCATGCATTAGCTCTTCAGGCAGTGTCGCATTGTGGTATTTGGGATAATGTCCTGCCAGACTTTGTACTCCCTCTTTTAATTAATTAAATTTCCTTTTCCTTAAAAAAAAGATAATTATACGACAAAGGAGATATGTTGTATCACTTGTATGGCAAACATTCCCAAAATCAAGATAGATGATACTCCCTCCGTCCCATAAAGATAGGGACGGTTTGACTTAAGTTATAAAATAAGGAGGGATAATTTTGTGTTGACTTTCCAAAAAATACTCTTAATGTCATGGATAAAGTAGGATGTGATGTGTAGATTTTTAGGAAAAAGGTATAATGTAATAGGTAGGGTATGAAAAAGTAAGAAGTAAAAGTGGTTTTTTAATATAAATGGGAATGACTATAAGGGATGCAATTTTTTTGAAACGGGACTGAAATTATAAGACTGAGAGAGTACATCATTATATACTTGTACGCCAACTATGCCACCCAAACATTGAATTAAGTATAGTGCATTGCCGTATTAAGACAATTAGCCAACCCCAACTTGTCTGCCACACAACATGTAGTCATGTATTTCTACTTTTAGTTTATTTGGTGTCAAATTGAGGGATTAAGTTATTTGTACATCAAAACTTGTACCTCATTTTGTATCCCAAAGGCATGTATCGATATTTTGTGCTAATGTGATGGTTTACATTGACAAAAAAATGTCAGTGCAATTTTTTTAAGTAAACTAACATTTTGTGTCAATATGAACCGTTAAAATGTCAATATATTTCTTTGGGGTACAACTAGAGATACGCTTTTTGGTGTACCCGTAGCATGGTTGTAAGTTGAGACTTAAATTATAGGTCGTTTTACATATTTAGTCCCTAAATATCAAATATCAATTATTTAGTCCCCAATTATTTTATTGTTTTTCACAAATAGTCATCTATTAATATTTCCGTTAAGAACATGGATAAAATTGTATATTCACACTCTTCTCTCTCTTCAATTAAGTTTTCTCTCTCTTCTCGTACTCAATCCCAAACCCGTCGTTGAATTTGAAGCTCTAAACCAAAAACCGAAATGATCACTCCTCTCTCAGAGGCTGTTTGGGAGTGATTAACTTATGCATAAAGTGATTTCCAAAAAAGCTAAAAGCAGAAGCACCTCATACATGCTTCTCCGAAATAGTATTCTATGTACAAAATAGTGGTGGTGAAAAGCCGAAGCTGACATGTCAAACAGAGTAAAATCACTTCTACTCAAAGTAGAAGCTAAATTATTAAAAGCAATACACTGCCAAACACCCTCTCAATCGTTCATCTTCCTAGTGGAACTCAAAATCGAAACGAATAACCTCCAGGGATGAATTTATTGGTTAGTCTCAAGAAATTGCAAATAAAACAAATCTTAAAACTCGTCCATGAAGATTACTGGTTTCGATTTTGGATTCTAACAAAAAGACAAACAATTGAGAAAGGGGAGATGGTTTCGGTTTTGGGTTCAAAGCTTCAAACTCAGTGACGAGTTTGAGAAAGAAGTACGAGAAGAAAAAGGAAGCTTAATTGAGGAGAGAGAAGATCGTGAATTTACAATTTTTTTCACGTTTAACGAAAAATGTTAACAAAATACCATTTGCGCAAAACATATCATAATCGAGGACTAAATTATTAATATCTGATATGTAGAAACTAAATATGTAAAACGAACTATAACTGGATAGTTTTTATGGAATTTACTCTAAAATATTGTACAACACAAGCAGCAAACCACTAATACACCTCATTGAGAGGATTAAAACCTCAAAAGGTAAATTTTTAATTACCATCAAATAAATCTTTACCAAAAAACAAAAAACCTCGAGACAAACACAAAATGAAACATTAAAAGACATGAAGAAATGCATGCCTAATTTAGATCATACAAATGCCACCTTACGCCAAAATAAATATTGGTCTTACTTTACAATGTGCCCGTTAACCAAGTTCATGTCCATCATTTGCAACCGTAATGTTTCGTTATGCCTTTGTGTCTTTGGCTTTGAAAATTCTTTTTACCTTATGGATTCACTCGAAACACTGATTCTGGAAGACTCTCATGATGTTACCATAGATGCCAAGTCCAATTCTTCGTCCGAATCTATAACATCTTCAAAATCATAGAACGGGTTTGCCTGAAACCATAATTATGAACTAAACCATCAATACTTTTTTTCATTAAAAAAACAAATCACTTTATGTGTGTACAATGTGTGTTATGTCTTTCACCTTGGGTCTCGGAGTTACTGCGTCAAAACTGCAGAAAACTGGAGAGTCGAAATGAGGAGGTTCCAATACAATGTACGCCCCTTTATTTCTGTACCTATCTTCTGTAGCCTGCAAGGTGGATATGGAGCAAAAAAATCGTAATGTGGGTCGGGTTGGTTTGGTTAAACAGAAATAGTGGTATGGGTTGGTTTGTATATTAGCTAAACCGCAATAAATTTATTTCGTCTAGGGTTGGGTAGAAAACAAGACAAAACAAAACGAACTCTCAACTCATGCCCACCCCTAATTTTGGTAAAGCTTGGGTTGGGAAAAAATGAAGAGCATACCTGAAACTGTGGGTAATCTGGTGCACTAAACAATGTGATCAGTTTCCCAGATTCCACAACATGATCTACAGTGTACCCTTCTTCCATTCCTCCAAGACCAGATCGCTTTTCTCTTGCATCGGGACCTTCATGTGATCTGATGATCAACTGAAATAGAATTCAATCAAAAATCTAAAGTTAGCATTTAACTCTATAATTTACAAATTACAATACCTTCAAATGCCAGCCCAAAGGTTATTATAAGTACAGAGGATTATCAAAAATGCATTCTAAGCGAATTACTGTTAGCAAACTGCCGGGCATTATAAAAAAAAGGGAATAGGCATAAATAATTGAAAGAAACTTCATAATGGGATTTGGATCATTGGGAACATCCATCATGCGTAAAAAGCCATAAGATGCAGAACTAACGAGTCAGACAAGTCTAAATAAAACATAAAAATCTATTAGGTAGAAGAAAATAGCAACAAGTATAAATCTTTATGCAATGATGGATCACACGTCAGGCAGATTGGTAAATCTCTAGTAAATGATTTCTTTAAGGGACAGAGAGGAAAAGATAAATATTTATAAGTAAACAACGTCAATCACTACTGCTAAAACTGGGGAAAAAATTACTCAGATGTGATATTCAAAGAAAAAGCCATTGCAAACGAATGTTGGCATTCCTCATGTTACCTTTAAGTTGTTCTTCCTTAAGAACTCTTCTGTCATGTCTGGACCCCATAAAAGACCGATCCCTCTTTCCTTGTTTGGGGAAAGACCATTGGTCATGGACGGGTCAGACCACAAGACATCACCTGGGATCAAATTAGAACCTTCCCATGGGGGATCAAGGACGGATCTCCTAGCTTTAGAAAGCTCCTCAAAGGAGCCAAGGGATAAAACACTCGGATCAGGGATGAGATTTATTCTACGAGTCTTCTTCCCTTTAGCTCTTTTAGATGGAGTAACAACACTGGCGCGAAAAACACCCCCGTGTGCAGTATATACACGACCTGCAATGACAGATGCAAGAGGCAATCCTTCAAAACAACCCAAACACTTTCTGTAGACATGTTTACCCCTGTCCCCATACTTTGTGAGGACCTCCTTCTCAAAGCCATAAACAGAAGTACAGTACTTGGATTCATGATTTCCACGAAGTAAGTACACTCTCCGTGGCATAAGAACCTAGAAAAATGTGCTGCATTAATAACTCTAATAGAAGTAATGACATTACGTGGCTGAAGAGTATGACATGCCTGCAAAATTGAACAATTGCTTTCCATAACCCAACTGGGCTTTCCACATAATGCCCAGAAAGTGAAGAGCTAAATTCAGATGGACTGGGAAAATAAATTCTACCTATGACCTCAACCTCTCCCACACCAAATATCTTTATCAAAAATCGAATATTTAAATATTTTCAAATGATTCCACAAGGAACTGATATTCTTGTGCATTCAAAAGGATAAGATGCCTTTTAAACTGTATTGATATTGTAGGCTCCCCTTCATAAAAGAACAATAAGAACATAAGTAACAGAGGACAATAACAGTTTTGGTCACTCAATTGTTCCAATGATGTTGAGTCACTTCCGGAGCAATACGAGTTTTGAAATTCCACTATGAACGGTGATCAAGGGAATTTAACCCATTTGGTTAAAGATAACACTTTTGGTCCCTCAGACCAAACTAAGTGGAAATCATTCTTCGAATGAGGGTACCCTTGCTGCTTTCTAAGCAGACCAATCTCGCCAAAAATAAAAATGCAGCTTTTAAAATATATATATTTTTAAATAGAAAAAAAAAAGCAATCTTGGAAGTAATTTAGCATTCAATATTTTGCGTTTAGGGTATTCTAATTTTGCAGGAAACCCATCCAGATTCAAAGTATTGAGATGAAATCCAGTTTACAGGTTAAGCGCATGACATTAATTGGAGTTGAATGGAAGAAATGGGCACGCATCATCTACCCCTTTCAGCACATTTTGCCTCCAATAAATCACAAGAAAGCCTTTACAGAATGTGTTTTAATGAATTACCTTCCAAGCCAGCAAGAGAAGAAAGGTCTCAAAACCCCATGCTCCTCTATCCACATAGTCCCCATTGAACACAAAGAAGCGATCCTCGCCCGGAAACCCTGCATCCCTCAACAAGAAAAGCACGTCGTGCAGCTGCCCGTGAACATCCCCCACCACGACAACCCGAGACTCTGGACCCAGACCCGACCCGTCATCGATCCTGACACAATTGGGCTCTTTATGCAAGATCTTGGAAGCTGTCAGGACAAGCCGGTCGAAGGCCTCGACGGGCAGAACGGTGGGGAGATCTGCGGGGGGGAGATTTCTAGACGCCCAATCAAAGGCGAGCATGAGGTCCGTCACCCATGCTAAAGTTAGGGTTCCGTCTACCGGCCACGAGATAGGGATCTGCGGGGCTATGCTTGAGGGAGAAGGGGAGGGAGTCAAGCAATGTTTCTCCTCTTCCGATGAGGAGGAGGTGGATGCCACGGAGGCTGACGAGAAGAAGTCTTCATCCGAGGACGGCGGCTGTGGAGTCAAAGACGGCGCCGGATGAAGGGCCGGCGGCGGGAGCATTGACGGTGTTTCTGGGAGCATGGGTTGGTCACCACTATGAACCGGAGTAGGAGTATTTTGCTTCTAAAAATTATGTTTGGTCCGGGCCAGATGACATTGCTCTTGCTAGGGGTGGGCAAACGTCTTGGAACCGCAGCACGGTTCGGCGCGAGTTAAGCTCGGTCTAAATTCTATGATTGATCCTTAATAACAACATGAGGTTTCCTTATTTAATCTTTTATTATCAAATATTATCCCAGTGATCCTATTTTTATGGATATCTTTCCATAAATAATCTTTTTTTGATCTTCTATCATGTTGGAGTGAATTTGAAGGTTAAAAGTGTAATTTCACAATGATAATATATCTTTTTTGTCATGCACAATTTCAAAGTTTGTTCCGTTTGCGTCGTTTGTGAATTACATTCGCTATCTACTACAACTATAGTCTACAAACGTAGTCTTCCATCGGAATCCTAGCCCACAATCATAGTCATTATTTTTGTGTTATCCGCTTAACCAATACCAGAACACGTCACTAGACATAATGTTGATGTCAAATTATACTTTTAGCTTTTAAATTAACACCCACATGGCGGAAGATCAAAAAAAAGATCATTTGTGGAAAAGCACTCTTAAAAAAAGGACTACGAGAGTAATATTTGATAACAAATGACTAAATATGAAAACCCCCTGTTATAAAGGACCAATTATAAAATTTACTCTTTTAAAAATTAGAAACAAGTGGACTCAGATTGTTCTGTTTCCTATTATTTAATTAAATTATAAATATACAATTTGAAGTATTAAATAAATTAAAGTATGTTCAATATTAAATTTTAGTCTTTTCATCAAACTTCACTAGACTCGTACGTGCATTGAACGGCCTAATTAGAGCATTGGCAGCGGTGAGGTCTTACCTTGCCACGCACTGCCACTCATGGAGAGGAAAGCAGCAAAATGGGCGAAGTAAAAATTGGATCGCATGGCATGTGGCGTGTCACTCTGATTTCCGTGGCGAGTGCCAGGCAAGAAGCGGCAAAAAAAGCACTCTTCTTCCGGTACTTTGATTTGCTTCCACCGTAAAAAAACAAAGCACTATTCCACTACTTTACTTTTCTTTCTCTTTTTTTAATTTGTACTCTAGTTTTAATTTGTACTCCCTCCGTCCTATAATGATCTTCCCGGTTCGCAAAACGAAGAAAAATCCCAAATTTTTTCAATCTATTTTATTTAAATATTGGTATAGAAATAAAAAATAAAACATACATATTTAAAAACTACATCAAAAGTTCAACAAAACAAGTGGTGACAAGAATATTTTATTTTATCATATAGGCCATGAAAAAACACAAATAAATATAAATTCCCGTGAAGTTGGAATAGTGCTCTGGGAAGATCATTATAGGACGGAGGGAGTATTTTATTTCAAATTTTCATATATTCAAATACAGAGTAGAAANCTTTTTTTAATTTGTACTCTAGTTTTAATTTGTACTCCCTCCGTCCTATAATGATCTTCCCGGTTCGCAAAACGAAGAAAAATCCCAAATTTTTTCAATCTATTTTATTTAAATATTGGTATAGAAATAAAAAATAAAACATACATATTTAAAAACTACATCAAAAGTTCAACAAAACAAGTGGTGACAAGAATATTTTATTTTATCATATAGGCCATGAAAAAACACAAATAAATATAAATTCCCGTGAAGTTGGAATAGTGCTCTGGGAAGATCATTATAGGACGGAGGGAGTATTTTATTTCAAATTTTCATATATTCAAATACAGAGTAGAAAATCAGCAGCAAAAGTCCTTCCCTTTGCATTTTGCAAAAATTATTTGTACTCTATTTTAAATTTCAAATAGAAAACTAAACTAATTTTGAATAACTAAATTATACCGAGTATAATTTAGATTTTTAAAACAAAATAGGTAAAAATATTTATAATTAAAAAAACAAAAGTCAAATGTATCAAGTAGAACATAACGTAAAACCGGGTGATTAAAATATATACAAAAATATAAATAGAGGAAAAAATAATGACATGTCATTGCAGAATGTACCACTCTAAGAGCAGTGGAACTACCTCTAACGCCCACAGGCGTTACGAGGCATTTGACGCCTGGGGACGTTAAACACTGCCCCCCTCCTCCGTTATAGCTGCGTTAAAACTTCTACATCATATCTTTGACACAATTTGAAGACATTTTGATGCCTTCTTTTTCTTTTTCCCCCCTCTTTTTTCCCTTTTCTTCTCTATAAATTAAATTAATTTTTTTTAAAATTCAACACAAATACAAATTTCTCTCTATTTATCACTTTTTAAAAAATTATTATTCAAGTATTTTTTATTTTTTTATTTAATGAATGTAATTTTTTTATTTAATGAATGTAGTTATTTACAATGAATGTACTTTTTTTATTTAATGATTGTAGTTTTTATAATGAATGTAATTTTTTATTTAATGAATGTAATTTTTTTATTTAATGAATTTAATTTTTTTATTTAATGAATGTAATTTTTTATAATGAATGTATTTTTTAAATGAACTATTATCGTTTCAATTCTTTTAAATAATTAAATAGTTAAATTTTATTAATTTAATTTTAGAAGATGTGTATTTAAAATGTAAAAAATGAAGGTTTGAAGCCCCGGGGCTTCAAACCCATTTCCACTGAAACTGTGAGGTAACTTAAAGCTGACGTGGTAGAGAGAGAAGGTTTGAAGCCCCGGGGCTTCATGGGTATTTCTAGTGCCCTAATGTCATGCCACTGTGTGACTAGACTGACTTTGATTGGCTCAGCAGTGCCATGTCAGCGTGTGGCATTCTAGTATATGCCTTGCCATTGTTCATGCTCTTATAAACTATAAAATTAGGAGAAACATTGATGAAAGAAAATGATAAAATTAAATTACAATAATAACATATAATCAAATAATAAAGACACGAACAACTCGTAGCATAAGCATCCAAGTGGAAAACGCCGCCTCCTTCCGGCGGGTTGGAACGTTTTCCGGCCACCTCCGGCAAAATTGGTGTCGCTCATCCCCTCCAAAGTGTTCGTGGCTTCTCGGCGACCTCCAAAAACCCCTCAATTGCAGGATTTGATGACGATTTGCAAAAACCACCAATTTTGAATTTTAGGGTTTTTCGAGTGGAAAAATTCAAATTCGAGGATTTGTAGGCCAAATTGGACAAAATGATTTGCATATTCTTGATCCTCTCTCAAGACGAAGAGAACGGCGTTGGTCCCGACGGAATCTGACCAGGTTGATTTTCCGGCGACTTTGACGTGGTGCGACGGCGGCGGGGAGCGGAAGTAAAGAAAAAAAAGAAATGGGGTCAAATTGAAAATTTTAAAGTATATAAAATTCTAATTTGGCCCAAATGACCGGAAGTTAACCTAGAAACGGGCAAATGGACTTTTAGTGAAAGGATTGTGTAAGTTCAGGGATTTTTGTGAAAGGATTTGAAGTTTAAGTACCACTTCGAAATTCCTACTAAAGTTCAGGTACCACTGATGAAATTTACCCGTATATAGTAGGATTAATAAATAAGTTCTATGGGGTGTGTTCAATATTCTATTAATAAAATTATATATATATATATATATATATATATATATATATATATATATATATATATATATACACGGAGTATATCACATAACTAGTACTCCCTCCATTCGTATAAAAGCTTCCTAGTATTACTCGGAGCCAAATAAGGAAGTGTTAAATTATAGTTGATTTCTATATTTGCCCCTGATGTGATGGGTAAAGTGATAGATAGATTATTAGAGAAAAAGTATAATGTGATAGGTAGGGTATGCAAAAGTAAGGGTAAAAGTGGTTTTTAATAGAAAGTGGAAGTATTTTGTTGGAAGTGGAAAAAATGAAAGAAAAAGTGTTTTTTGAGAACAGATGGAGTAAAATGTTTGTCTATATTCACATGTTTTCTTATGGTTGAATTTTTTATTTCGTTTATAACTATCATGGATTCAAAAAGTTTATTATTCTATTGACTATTCTCATATACGTTGTTTATTTATTTGTGATGTACTTAAAATTTTAATATAATAGAAAAAAACTCACAGACTCGCGAATCGACAAAACCGAACCATTTGAAACAAGCGCAGTGTTTGGGTCGGTTCCAAATATTTCTTTCAGCAACCCGACCTATCTCGGATGTCGGGGTCGGGTGCTATAAAAATCGGCCCGTGCCCACCCCTAGCTCTTACAAAAGTGAAGAAATTGTAGGGTCAATTTCGATAGGTCTAGAGACAGTACAGTACAGTCCGATATCGGTTTCATGAAAAGAAGAAGAGGTTCGACGAATTGGAGGAAAACATGAGGGTGCTTTTCATATGGTCTTGGTATATACTGATGTTAAGATGCATGTATGGATACGGTAAAATCAATTTGGTATCAAAACCAACTATAGTGGCATTTTAGCAAAAATGGTAACACTGATGCTTACCATTTGGTACAAAAAACAATCGGTAAAACAGTCTAACGACTTACGTATAATATAAGACGATCTATATCTTCATTTAACGGTTGTTTACAATTAATAATTACAACTTTTATACTCATGTAAATCACTTCCATTATTTTTAAACCTGATTACTCTATCAAACAATCTAATTTTTACTCTCTCAAAAAATGGATCTTTTTAAACTATGGTCAAGTTCATCAAATTCTAAAGATAATGACAAATTAGTGATGAATCATCGTAACCTTGCTACTCTTGTTACGGTTATTCAAAGAGAATTAACTGAGATTCAGGAAACGACAAATTTTACGCATTTAATTGAGATTTAGGATAACAAAAGATCAAGAGGGTGCACAACATCTCATTCAAGATTACTTCACAAAAAATCCGACTTTTGGTGATAAGATGTTTAGAAGAAGATCACTATTCTTGAAGATAGTTGGTGACATTGAGAGTAACTTTCAATGATTTCTGAGTTTATTTTATCATGACCCCATGTGGCTTGATAAATGTGCACGGTTACCCCCTATGATTGCAAAACTTATATCGTTGGTTCTGATATTGCTATGATAGTGCTCCTCTAAACTAAAATATCACTCAAATATTATGTGAATATCTCCACTACCCCCTATGATTTTGGAAATTAGCACAAACACCTCTCTTTT